CAACTCACTTTGACTCTGAAGATGACTACCGCACAGGTTGTCGAAACGTCAGTCACTGTCAACAACAACAGTCCTATTCAGGACTACGTTCACCCGGATGATCAAACTCAACCTTTTGAAGTAACTCCTGGGTTCAAACCTTTCACAATAACAAAAATGATGGAAAAAAACTGCTGGGAATAAAAACCTTGAGAGGTAGACAACATTACTATAAAAATTCCACATTATCTGCTAAAATGGATCGTGCTCTTTCCAACAGTCATATTCTCTTTAATATATAGATTTAGCCAGGGCTAAAAGCGAAGCTCCCGTTAATAAATTCATAATTTAAATCAAACAATAAACTTGCAATTGTAATCCACAGATCAGGGCACATTCATTTGACTTTTGAGGCAAAGGCGGAGTGATTTTAGAGAAAAATCAGAATTTGACCGTCCAAGAGTGCAACAAATTTTACGTCGAGTTATTAAATAGTCTTATTTGTACACCGAAAAATAGCAATCACGTTCAATCACAGTAGATTAGGCCTGGAAAACAAATAGACCTATTCGTGTATTGTATTTGCATTAGCTGTTGCATCATAATGTGGCATTCACTAGTCTCACCAACATTGCTCCGTTAGAGAGACTATGGATAATTGGATAACCTCGAATTATAATTTTAAGAAACACACGCGCCACGATAGTCCTTGGTGGCAGCCAATTTACAAGTTGCATTCCTCTGTCTAAAAGGGAGGCCAAAATAAAAAAATCAGGCCGGATTTTTTGTGTTCGACAAGTTTAGTTTACTAGTAAATCTTGGCGACGAATCTGGTGGCGTGTAAACCAGCCTTTTAAACGTACTTTTTCTCATCACGTCTCAGGTAAACAGTACTATGAGGCCCTTTTTTTATCATACAGACCTCGGACAGAATTTGTTCTTTTTTGCTCTATTTAAACCTATAATTCTGCAGTTTTTCACAATTTTGCAAGAGAATTTGCACTCATTCAATATCCACGACGATCAAAGCACGCGCTTCGTTTGCACAACAAATTATAGCATTGAATTGTAAAACGTTTTCATGAAAAGAATTCTATAATGCCGGGACTTTTCAGTTAGAAAAATCTGGTCCTAGATATGCAGGGTAATAATTATGGGCTTTTAATGAAAACGATAAAAAAAAATTCCCAAAATCACTTTTCGGCCAGCCGGACGGGTTCTCACTTTTGACAGGCACCAAATTCGCAGTGCGATTAATAGAGTTACCATTCACGCTTCAACATGATAGAGAAATTGTTATGTTTAGGTTTTACTTCCCTTTATTCGTTAAACTGTGCATGATTTTTTTATGTGTAATCTTTAAAAGCGAGTGATATTTACGCGCGGCGTTTTGAGTATTCTTGCATGCGATGTTTATGTTCGACTGGAAATTAAAAAAAAAAACCGGTGCAGCGATAAAAATTGCGAGAGGGACTACTAACAATCAATAAAATAAATTTAATTCGGTGAAACATGTACAGAGACAATAATTTTCATTCACGAAGAGAAGTATTGAGAGTAAAGTGTCTCAGAAAATCATGAGTCAGGTAAGCATAAGCTTATTTATGTTTTAAGCCGGCTTCCCGGTGTTTTCTCTTTTTCAAGATGAACTCGAGGCAAGAAAATCCATCAGAGCTTTCTGTTTACTGCCAAAATCATAACTAAATAATCCTCGGAACCTTTTCTTTGAATTTGCGAGTCAAAAAGTTACCATTCACGCTTCAACATGATAGAGAAATTGTTATGTTTAGGTTTTACTTCCCTTTATTCATTAAACTGTGCATGATTTTTTTTATGTGTAATCTTTAAAAGCGAGTGATATTTACGCGCGGCGTTTTGAGTATTCTTGCATGCGATGTTTATGTTCGACTGGAAATTAAAAAAAAAAAAACCGGTGCAGCGATAAAAATTGCGAGAGGGACTACTAACAATCAATAAAATAAATTTAATTCGGTGAAACATGTACAGAGACAATAATTTTCATTCACGAAGAGAAGTATTGAGAGTAAAGTGTCTCAGAAAATCATGAGTCAGGTAAGCATAAGCTTATTTATGTTTTAAGCCGGCTTCCCGGTGTTTTCTCTTTTTCAAGATGAACTCGAGGCAAGAAAATCCACCAGAGCTTTCTGTTTACTGCCAAAATCATAACTAAATAATCTTCGGAACCTTTTCTTTGAATTTGAGGGTCAAAAAGTGTCTAAAGGCTTTTTAAACCTGATACTATTGTAGGTTAGATAATTGTTCGTGTACAAACTTAAGCCGCATAAACCATACGCTCGACTTCAGGAAACCGAAAAAAAAACACATCAAAGACAATAATTGCTCAGGCTTACCAGTCGAGATGCTGCTTCTGAAGGTCTTCAAGTGTTCCAGAATCGCTTGAGACTTTTCAACCCTCTTACGCCTCAAGTGAGTAAGCTCATTTTTGAAAACGATGCCATCCGAAATCGGATTTCCAATGACTTTAACAAGCGGTGCATTTGTCAACAAAAAGCGCAATAAGCAAACCAGCCACGAATTACAGAACAATGTTGATAGCAGCTGTATTTCATTTTGTACACCAAGTAGAAAAAGACAGTTTAAAACATCACAAGATGACACAAAACTCTGTCAGCTCCAGCTATCAGTAAGCAAGTTTCCAGACGCTGCATGAATTTTCCCTATAAACTCACCTGTCAAATTTTGACCAATCAGAACATAAAAATTGGACGTAGAGCGTGATGAACACGTGACAGTGAAAAAAGTCAAAAGCGATTGCCTTCCCTGCATTTAAATGTAAAAGCCGGTTGAATTTTCGTGTCCGAGGTCAGTTCGAAATCAACATTTTAAAAGTGCGGCTCATGAACACGACTTATTTCATATGCATTTTAAAAAAATTGAACTTGAGCCTGCGATCATCTGAAAAGTAGCAACTTGTCAGCGGATACCTTCAAAAAATTACTCGAACTCAGAGGGTCTATACCTGACCCCGCGATACGGTCAGGCGATACTGGTCAGCAGAAACATTGGTATGCCTGTGGTGCGGACAGACGGAAGGTCGGGTGGTCGGTGTACGGTCTCGTGCTTGCCGAATTTTCTAGGATGGACAGATTTTCTATAAAGCTATGGGGCTTCGAATTGAGCCTGTGATCAAATAAAATATATGCGCAAAACTTTAAACACTACGTGACCTCAATGGATAGAAAAATGAGCCCGCGATCCACTCAGGTGATGATGGTCAGCGTATACTCTAGTTTGACAGCTGTCAATTAACCTTCATTAGAATGGCGAATATTCGAATTAACAGACTACAAGTGTGAGTAGGACATATCCGTCCAGCATGTAGTGGAAAATGCCAGATCGTGTACCTGAGCGAACCTGAGCCCACGTTACTAGTTTTCTGATTGTGGTCTGCACATGTCCCATTTTGACAGCTGTCAATTGAACTTAATTTGGCTTGCCAATGTAACTTTAAACGACTGTCAGTCAACTGACAGCCTTGCCCAGCGTAGTTTCGTTTTTATGTTGAATTGGTAAGTGTGACATATTATGTCAGCTTATATATAGGGGTAAAACGACTGGTCTTTTATCTGAGCCCGCGAGATGGTCATGTGATAATTGTCAGCGGATGTCTGATTTTGACAGCTGTCAATCTAATCGTACTCATACGGATGGCTTACATAACTAAGAGGCTAGTCAAGTTGTGCAAGATCTATTGTGACATTTGACATCGGCTTACATGAAGTGTGTGTACGGGTGGGCGTACTCTACGTCATAACCAAATTTTCTCGGATGGATAGTTTACCAAATTTTCTTACCCATGGTGCTCCGCTGCGCGCGCGCTTCGCGCGCGCGGGAGCTCCGCTATAATCGAAAAACTAATTTAAGATAATGCAATGTTTTCATAAAGAAAGATAATCACTTTTTACAATCGAAAAAAAAATGCCTAATTGCGACCTCAATGCAACCTGGAGAAGTCGGAAACCGAAAACAAGTCGACACCTACTTTTACATGGTTTCATGAAATCCCGTGTGACAACCGTGAGCATGGTATCAATCTGTATATGCGGGTTATTCAAACTAAACATAATCACAAAAAACTCCCACTTAATTAGAGAGTTGGAGGAAATTGTAGAAGATAATTGAGTGAAAGGTCAACTCGGACGATCGATTTGACTGTATTGGAAAATCATATTTGATATTAGAAAAACTTAATCAAGGCCGGCACCAGTAATCACACCTAATTATACGTTCATCATTCTTTTTGTATTCTTAAATTCAACTTAATAATATAGCGCTATAATTATTATTTTTCAATTATGAATCTTTTTTTAGTTTCCCCAGTAAGCTTTACAGCATAATACTCAGACACTCAAATACTTAAAAGTTCATTCACTCAAACATGTAACAATACTTCCATTTGCGTAATTCTTTGCAGCTTTCACGGTTTTTCTTGTATGTTATTTGTTCTTTACACTGCCGTTTCATCAACGGCGAGTATTTAATTTTGACCCTGAATAATTAAGATGCGTTTAGTTTCCTTACTATCCGATCGAGTTTATATTTACCATTTTTGCACTTTTAGCATTAATTTCAGCTTTAAATTTGCTTTAATTTTTATGGTTAACTAACTTTGGCAATAAAAACTCTGGAAGTAAAAAACCCTCGAAGGCAAAAATCTATCTTGTGGGGACTTCCTCCGACAATTGCACAAATTTAGTCATAAATAATGCAAGTTTCCTAATGAAAAATGATTTATCTTTTTTTCTTAGAATATACAAAAAGCTTAATAAGAAACTAACCTCCGGTTTAAGGAAAATGGTCCCAAATTAATTATTCTTCGTTGGCACTTTAAAAGTAAATCAACTGCAACTTGAATTAATATGTTGTCTGTAAGAGCCTTCAAAGGTATCAGTAAGAGTCCTTTTATAATTCTTTTGAGATTAACAACTCAGTTCAGAAGAAGAAACTGCCACTCAGTATTCAGAAACCTCATCGACGACATGTCTAACAATACAACTTGCTTTCCACTGAATAACATTTCAAGCCCTTGTGGGTCGACGAACGAAAGCAAAAATCGTATTCCTTACGCTCATGCTGCGATTCTTCCGAGTACTATCATTATCGCTATATTGTCGCCAATTGCGGTGGCTGGTAATTCATTGGTTTTAGCAGCAATATCGAAGCGCTCTTTTCAAAGATCGCCGTTTCATGTCCTTCTGAGTGGAATGGTTGTAACTGACCTTTGCACGGGACTCATTGCCCAGCCGTTCATCGTCGCAACTAATTTACTGTACCTGACAAAACCAACATTCGTGATAAAGCAGCCACGGCTTTTTCTCGCCATCAAAACAACTGGAGACGCAAGTGCCACATATTCGATAGCCTTCAACTTGTTAATCATAAAACTCATGTCTGTTGAGCGATGGCTGCATATGTCTCGCCGATCCTTGGTGATATCCCGTCGAGGACGTTTTACTGCCGTAACTTGTTTTCTTCTTCCAATTCCAGCAGTTGTATTTCGTTCCATGGAAACTCTTGAACCAGGAACAGGTCAACGACTGTTAAACATGACGATTGTTGTGTCCATGTTTGTTTGTTTTCTAATCACATTTGTTTCTTATGTTAACGTTTTTCGTCTCATTCTACGCCACCAACAACAGATTCAAGTCACTGAAAACTTTGGTCAACCTGCGATAAACTTAGCAAAGTACAAAAAATCCGTGTTCACCATCTTGATTATTCTGGCCTTCTATTGCATTTGTTTCCTTCCTATTACTTTCTCACTTTCAATCCATTTTCAAGTCGGTGATAGTTCTAAAATGGCATTGGCTACAAGTATATCGTTCGTGTTCTTATTTTTATCTCCTTCGTTAAGTCCAATCCTGTACTTATGTAGAATGAATGATGTTCGTGCTGGGCTAAAAATATTACTTTCGTCTGGTAGGGGATAATGCCAGGTCTAACTCTGTCTCAGTAGTCAAAAGAAAATTCATAATTCGGGTTAGAATGTTAATCTATTACAAAGTTCTTGTACGTTAAGTTTCGGGATTAAAGAGATACTTTTGAAAATTTTCAGAGTGTAAAAGAATTTGTGGGTAAAGGCTTTCTCAATGTGATCCTAAAATCTTGCAATCTAAGGAGGGTGTTAATTCTTGGAAGTTGTCAGGAAATGCATTTATCTATCCATCCAGTTGTGAGGAATTAGATAGGTGATTTAATCAGTAAGAAAAGGGGAAGTATTTTCAATGAACAATAATGACCGCAAATAAAATTGCTCTTTAATAGCCTAGTTTGAAATTATTAAAATGATATTTAATTCTCCAAAGTAAAAGTTAGTCTGACACGTAGGCATAAACAATCCAGTGATAATTCTTGTCGCCCTTCAAACCAAGGGCGAAAACCGATCCGCATAAGAATGGTGCAAAGATGTACCAACAGAAAATTAAACCGTTCAATTTCAGCTTAAGGTACGTGACAGGTACACAAGCTTGATTGATTCGTGGAAAAGAGTGGCTGACACTGAGAGCATGCCCATGTATTCGTGAAATTGAGCGCTGAAAGTTCAGTGACAAAAGTTTCATTGCCGTCGATCTAGTTTTCCTAAGCTTTTCTTGGTGGTTTAGATGGGAAACTCTCAGGCCGAAATACTCCACTTGGGCATGGAGACAAATTTCAACTTTCCTAATTGACCTTTATACGTGCCTGTCTTATTATAAATGGGGATTTGTTTTTCTTTGTCCAGGAAAGACTCGCCAATTTTGTTTCTCTGAAAAGAAAAAGTTGTAACAAAACGCGTTCTGCGTAAGTGGGAACACCTTTTACCTTGTCAAGAAAAAAATTGTCAAGTTTTTCATATTAATCTAGCAATTTTCCCTGAAAGTAAAAAGAAAAAAAATCTTGCTTGTGAAAACGAAGCTTAAAATTAATGACGGGTCAACTCGAGGTTAGTCACAAATCCGTCTTAAAACTATGCATGATGAACACATTCTCGGTTTTCATATGACGTCACCAACATTCAAACTTATCGATTCTTCCGAGTTTCTACTTTCGTGAGTTATTACAGTAGCTTAACACTTTCTTTATTCATACAAAATTTTTTGTTCGAAAGGGCTCTTCATTTTGCGCGAGAGGACTCTGGAGGCTAGGAAAGCTCTTAATGTGGGTTGAAAAAGTTAGCAACTTTCAGAGATTTTGGTATCGTAACATTCCTTGTCTCAGAATAAATGTTACTTTTACCTTTATGAGTTCATCAAGCGATGAATTAACGCATTTGCAGAAACACTCCAAGACAGCTGTTTCTGTTGGTTTTCGGCGGCCATATTTGTGCCCCTCAAAAAGGCACCAACATAGCGTCTCCATACAAAGCCTTATATATTGAGTAAAACGTTTTTCCGAATATCTTGCACAAATGTCGCGCAACAACTTACAACAACTTTACTTCATTTCAAAACCCTTGTTATACAATAGAATAGAACACAACCCGCAAGTAGCAAAGGCTCTCGAGGCGGGTTGTGTAAAGATACATGTAAATAAATAAATAATACATTAATTAAGGTGGCTCGATACAGTTTTTCAGGGCCAATACCTTCCAAGTTTGATCATAAACTACGTCGCCATAAACAAAGTTTTGGAAAAATTGCCACCACATTTGTATTAGATTAAGATGAAAATTTGTTATGATCAAGGTTGCAATGACATCGGAGTTGTCATAGCAACGAAATGACGCTATTACCTATTTTACTTACAGGAGTATATCTCGGCGCTGGGAACTCTTCTTCCAAAATCATTTAAGGAAGCTTTTCCCTCCAATAGCCGCCTCGATGTTCCTGAAGTTTAAGCCAAATCTGTAACAGCGTTATCGAGATATTTTGGGATAAAGATTTTGTTGTATCAATAGCAATGATATATAGATTTTTGGGTGGGTGGTTTACCACATTTTCTTACCCATGGTGCTCCGCTGCGCGCGCTTCGCGCGCAAGAGCTGCGCTATCAATCTTTTAAAAATTGTGAGTGGAAGATCATGATTAGTATGTATCGAGGCGCTCTTGTCAGCGGTTTTTTAATATTTTGGTCTACTTTAACAAATTGGTAAATAATTTTTAAACCGCTCGATATATATTTTTTTACAAATTTAAGATTCTTGAGATTAACCTTCCTTTTATATGATCTTCTAGTTTCAAGGTTATTGCTATATTGTAAGGCAGTAAAATACCCTTACAAGGGTTTAAAAATAATGAAATATCCTAACATCATGACCCCAAAAGGCGGTCACGGTCGCTTATGACGCAGGCGTCCGTACATGGAGGTTCGATTATATTAAGCATATTTTTTTTCTTTGGTAAATCTCGGTAATTGAAAAAAATCTAAAGAGTCACGCACTATTATCACTTAAAAAAATTAATTACTCGACGTGTGTTTATACCGAGAGCATGAAGTTGTGGTTTCTGAGCAAGAGCAAGTATTCTGGTTACAGTAAGATACATGTAAATAAATAAATAATACATTAATTAAGGTGGCTCGATACAGTTTTTCAGGGCCAATACCTTCCAAGTTTGATCATAAACTACGTCGCCATAAACAAAGTTTTGGAAAAATTGCCACCACATTTGTATTAGATTAAAATGAAATTTGTTATGATCAAGGTTGCAATGACATCGGAGTTGTCATAGCAACGAAATGACGCTATTACCTATTTTACTTACAGGAGTATATCTCGGCGCTTGGAACTCTTCTTCCAAAATCATTTACGGAAGCTTTTTCCTCCAATAGCCGCCTCGATGTTCCTGAAGTTTAAGCCAAATCTGTAACAGCGTTATCGAGATATTTTGGGATAAAGATTTTGTTGTATCAATAGCAATGATATATAGATTTAGCCAGGGCTAAAAGCGAAGCTGTCGATAATATTTATATTTTGTTCAAACAAAATATAAAATCGTGTAATGCTTAGCGGCGAAGGCAACGCCGGAGAACGGTGAAAAACTGAACAAAGGTCCAATTAGCAAAAAAGGAACTTTGCACGTGCAGCACACTTTTTTTGTACATTTCTTTGCCGTTCTTTTGTACGACTGCAACGTGAAACTTCCAGAAACTTCTTAGTTACACGTTTTATGGATTGAATACGTTTTCTCGTTCACTTTTTTTTCACTGCCGCTCACTTTCACCTTGCATTGGTGGCCGCTAGCATTTCTCTTTTTGCCACCACCGCTACAAAATTGTCATGTTGTTCTTCCAACAAAAAAATGTCTCCTTTGTTTTTAACCTCTCGCTCTAGATCTCTGTCGCCCTTTATCACGTTAACGTTGAGATTCGCTGGCCTGCCACCTACTTTCTCTTTTTCTCTGTCTTTCTCTTGCTCTAAATTCCAAATATGTGGACATGACAATTAATCTAAGCTTAATGCTTTAGAAAACACGGATACAGAAACAATTTCCGCTTTCCGTTTTCGTCTTTATTGACTCTTTAATTGTCTCTGCTTCACGATTTCCCGTCAAAATAACCTCGAGTTATATTTGGGTTGCCATACCTGTTGAATGAGTTATTTTACATTGGTATGACTGTGGTGCGGACGGACAGTCGGGCGGTCGGTCGGTGTACGGTCACGTGATTACCAAATTTTCTCGGATGGGTGGGTGGTTTACCACATTTTCTTACCCATGGTGCTCCGCTGCGCGCGCTTCGCGCGCAAGAGCTGCGCTATCAATCTTTTAAAAATTGTGAGTGGAAGATCATGATTAGTATGTATCGAGGCGCTCTTGTCAGCGGTTTTTTAATATTTTGGTCTACTTTAACAAATTGGTAAATAATTTTTAAACCGCTCGATATATATTTTTTTACAAATTTAAGATTCTTGAGATTAACCTTCCTTTTATATGATCTTCTAGTTTCAAGGTTATTGCTATATTGTAAGGCAGTAAAATACCCTTACAAGGGTTTAAAAATAATGAAATATCCTAACATCATGACCCCAAAAGGCGGTCACGGTCGCTTATGACGCAGGCGTCCGCACATGGAGGTTCGATTATATTAAGCATATTTTTTTTCTTTGGTAAATCTCGGTAATTGAAAAAAATCTAAAGAGTCACGGACTATTATCACTTAAAAAAATTAATTACTCGACGTGTGTTTATACCGAGAGCATGAAGTTGTGGTTTCTGAGCAAGAGCAAGTATTCTCGTTACAGTGATCATTAAATTTATATAATTATAATGTTAGCAGTTCGTGTAAGATATTCAGTAATTAGTTTTATTATCTGTCTTTGAACGTGCAATATCTTTTTAATGAAGTTTTTCTTTAGGGCAATCTTCTTGTGAACATTTGTTTGTACCACTTCCAAAAATTACAATTACCCATATCAAGCAAAGTCAGTTGAATTCATTAAGCCAGCCGATATCATCAACTGAACAAAGAATCAAACAAACCTAGAATGGCAAATATCAATTTGTGGAATTAAAAAGCAGGATTTATTTTGTTGTAACCTGCTCTTTCTCTCAATATGAAAGGGGTGGTCCTTTATTTTCTTTTTCTTTCCTTTCTTAGGCCATAGTTAATAGATTCGAATGATTGTGAAATCCTTCATACTCCTTTGTTATAGGTTTTTATGGACCTGAAGATGCACAACATTATAAGCATTCCTACCATTTTGATCGCATTGACCAATAAAAACGTCGCATTAATTTATTCCATCACAAACAAAGGATTGCGCACCGTCAGGGAGCTTCCAATATAAACTGCATCACTGTTGTTTTTACATTTGATGTTTTTTGTCTTTCATAACCAGTCTCCTCCAATAACTATGCTGAATTTACTCTTTGAGTCTTTGTGCCTACCTCTGCTTTTTTCTTTCTTCAAAAGAGTTCCGCTTCTCATATTAATCTTTAGTCAGAGGCTTCCGTATCCGTCAAATCCATCAACCAAAAGATAAGCTGCTTTTTATTGAAAAGGGAATTCAACTGCCTACGGGAGTACAACGTATACTATATTTCTCTACGCCGTTTTAAGGAAGAAAATATGGTTCTCGACCCCCAAGGGGCATGGCCAAGTGCATGCAATGGCAGCATCAACCAACACCACTGCTTCCAATTAATTATAAGGTAGTCTATGTGTGTGCTTTTTTTTTCCTAATTAATTTGTCTTTTGTTAAAGGAGATGACACAAAATTCAGGTAGAATAAAATAAGAAGAAACGTATTGTCAGTAAAGCAAATGTCAAATCTTTCTTCTCTTTTTCTAATAGACGCTATGTGTATAAATGTTTGGTACTGTTAGAATTGAATACTAACCATTCAATCAAGTGCTTAAAAAAGAAAGATAAATTTAGACTGCCTTTTTTCAGTTTTAGTTATCGCGCTAGGGCTTTCTTCGCAATGAATGAGTACAAAGCAAAGGCAATATTGGTGCTTTTCCAGCAGCTGCCAAGTCACGGATTTATCATTAATCCTGATAAAGAACAAAAAAGAGAAGATTGCATTTGGTCCTTTATTTTTAGCTGAAAAAACTAGAGTACGACCAACAACACATCATCTGGAGGGAAACTTACAGCCGTAACTGCAGCTTTTACATGGACAGCTTTTCCTACTCCATCATTATCGCTGTTTTATGTCCAGTTGCAGTGGTCGGAAATGCTCTAATTTTGGCTGCGATTTGGAAAAAGACATTTAAAAGAACTCCTTTCCATCTTCTTCTGAGTGCATTAGCAATCACTGATTTGTGTACGGGAGTAATAGCCCAACCTCTTACTGTTGCAGCCAATCTTTTGCAAATTGCATCGGACTGCAAATCATATTCACATTGCAGAAACAGACCAATGATTACTGAAGTAATTGATGCACTTAGTAATACCAGTGCCACGTATTTCTTTTCTGTCACAGCTCTTTTTACATCACTAATGGCAGTTGAGAGATGGTTACACATGACAAGGCGATCCAAGTTGACATCACGTTGTAGATACACTGTAGTTATAGCGATCTTGATCCTTCCATTACCCAAAGCAATTTTTCGTTCCCTGGAATCCGTGGAAGGACGTCCTTCACGCTCATCGAATATTGCAATCATAGCTTTGGGAATGGTTTGTTTCTTAACCACATTTGCTGCTTATTTTCAAGTTCTTCGAATCATTCGACGCCATCGACAACGCGTTCATAGAAGCATGCGGACTGGCAATTTTGGTCCATCAGCAATAAACCTGGCGAAGTATGAGAAATCTGTGGTGACGATCTTATATATCGTAGGTTTATTTTACTTCTGTTTCTTCCCATATATTGTAACTATTAGTGTGTTTGTTCACTTTGGAAACAATGATTCACGAGAATTATCTGTAGCCTTGCACATCACCACAGTGTTTCTGTTCGCATCATCTTCACTCAACCCACTCCTTTACCTATGGAGAATGAACAATGTTCGTACGGGAGTAAAGCGCTTATTTTTTCGAGGATCCGAATAGCCTTGGCCTAAGAGGCAATGAGTTTCTTAGAGGTGGTTTATTGCATCCCAATTTTGTTGTTTCAAGTTATAAATAAAAATTGGTCCTGATAAACTGTTGTTCGTGTACATGAAACACCAACATTAACAAAGACACAAAAGACATCAAAATGTCATTCGATATCATTTTGAAGGCAACTGATTTTCCAGCTTCGTTGCTGAGTATTAAATAGACAACAGTGTTAGTAATCTTTGTTACTTTAAACCACTGACAGAAAAGTTACGGAATGTGCGCGTTTTCACATCAACACACTCGTTGCACACAAACCAAAAACCACTCTACGACGACTAGCCTGTTCCAGGAGTGCGGCGCGAGGGATTTCTGCTCATATCTCTTTGCGCTGTCCCCACGATATGAACGCCTGGAACAGGCTATCAATTACGACGACCGTTTATGAATGTCAAGGGCCAAGACAAACCGGATGAAAGACAGGGAGCAGTATACTGACAACATCAAATGCTGGGGCTGCCAGGCCACTTGCACTACTGAGACAGGCAGAAACTTTAGAACGCAACTGACTGAACACAAACAAGCGACAAGAAATGGTGATGTCAACAAACGTATTGCTGAACACCATTTACAGGTGAAAAATTAAACTGATTGCGATTCTGTGGCATGTTACGTATTCTACAGACTACTATCACCGACTCACTTGAGAAAGCTGGTTTGCTAACTTAGAACAACACCACTGATCACCGCAGCTAACAGTTACCGGCACTGTGCAAAAATGGAAACGATGAAGTAACTGAAAATTAAAAGCAATTGAAAGCCTTTTGATTTATCCGTCCGTTAAACTGTGACAAAAGACGGCCGGATCGAAACGCATCAATCACATTTAGAATCTTCTTACCCATGCAATAACGTCACGATTTAACTAAGTCTTACAAACAGTTTGGTGTCTTAGGTAGGCCCAGTGTGACTTTTCAAGGCCCCGGTTATATGAGAAATGATTTCCCGGGTTGAAGGGCCACCCGCCTCATGAGCCGAGCTACCTTGGGCGAGCCGGCTTTTCATATATTTCTTTACTCTGCGTGGCGGACCGTTTTCACGTAAAAAGAAAACGCTGGCTCGGCTAAATAGTATAGGGTCACCCTCCTAGCTTGGCCAACTTTTCTTCATATAAACATTTGGCTAACCCAGCCGGATCAATTCGATCAAGGCGGTTTAACAATCAGAGCATGCACGAGCGCTGTTTTAGACAATCAGAGCATGCGCGAGCGTGTTGGCTCGGCGGGGAGGGTGACCTTTCTACGCGGGACAGGTTTCTCTGAAAACAGGGCGTGACATGTCCGTGTTATAAGCTTACTGTCGGTTAAAGGAACATGTATGAAGTTCACTGAAGTCAGTATTGAGCTCAATTTTTTTTTTGTTTTTACAACATCGATAATTGCAAAGAGCCACGCCCGTGCGTAAATAAATAAAGATTTTCTTCATGATAACGTGTTCAGTTGTGTCTAAGAAACTCGGATTTTTGTCTCTTTTTCTCAACTAAGTGCCCAATAATCGACGGCAATGGTAAAGAACTTTCCAGCTTCTAGTCACTCAAAGCAACAGCAGGAAAGGGCGAAATCCCTGCGGAGGCAAAAAAATGAAATGAAAAAGAGCTATTGCACACAATGGCAGCAGCATGGCCAACACCGAGGGATCAACTAATTATAACTTAGGCTGTCTTTCTACTAAATGAACAAAGAAAATGTCCCTTGTTTTGGCTTCTTTACTTTTATTTTTATTTTAATTATTTATTTTTTTTGCATTATTAGATTCACTGAATACGAGATCCATCATACTTAAGCCATCCAATCAAGTGCTTTTATTCTATGTTTATTTATTCGTATAACAATTAAGTTTATGTTGTATTACCTCAGTTGTAAAAAAGGCTCTCCCCAGAGAATGACTACATAGCAAAGAAATATTGGCGCTTTTCCTGAAGCTGCTGCAATCATGGATCATATCATCAACCCTTCAACGAAAACAACTTGAAAATCATCAGGAAAATTTGATTGTATTTTTCCCTTTTTGGCTGAAACTCAATCATTGCAGCCTCTTGGAGCCATTCATAAAAGAAAGACAGAAATAAGGGGAATGACCAACAACACGTCCGTCGTCTTTCAAATTAAGGCTCTGGCGAAAACCTTTGAATTTAAATGACTGTCCTCTATTGGGCTGCAATTTTTATTGCGAACCTTCCTGTCTCTGATCCTGGACGCATAATTATTGCATTATTTTATTTATTTAGACCCAGCAACCTGACTTATAGAATTTAGTTTGAAATAGTTCTGCTGGGTCCTTATTTCATCGTCGGTTGCAACAGTATTGAAAACATTAGAAAATTAACAATAAATATCGCTCCTTTCTGCTACCACTAGGAAAGGAGACGTCAGTTCCTGCCAGCAAGCATAGGTTAAAGTGCACCTCTTTCCTTCGCCAGTTGTAACTACAGAAATTTCTACCTCGGCCTCTTTGTAAGTCGTTTTTTTCGTTGACTAGCGGGTGTAATGGCCTTACGTCCTCTCTTTCCATCTGCTTCCTTTACCAAGAAGTGACCGTGACGTCTTTTACCATGCCTGGAGCACTTGTTTCCTTTTCTAGGATTTCCGCAGCTGTGGAAACTCATAAAAAAGTGGTGATGTTTTAAAGACATGAACTCAGTGTATCCATTGCTTGCTTCTTTCTGAAGAAATTCACAGCTTTTATCTACGATGGGCCCCATTTCCGAAGTGTTAGTTTAAAACGTGTAAGGTATAGGCTGCATTCATTATGTATACTGCAGAGGGGGGGGGAGGGGAGGGGGGGGACAGAAGATATTTTGAAAGGAGGAAAATTTTTCAATATTCCCCCCACACATCATACAGAATTTTTTGACAACCCCCCTCTTGACCGAAATAAAAATTGACATCCCCCCTCCACCTGGTCTTGACAAGGACAGTAAAATATGGGCAATATGATGAATGGTGAAGAGATTAATGTTTCCAATAGAAAACTAAAAACAAAAGGTTATGAAAGGTTCAAAGATTTTTGTGTTTCTGGTTTACAGAAAGTTGTAATTAATAAAGCTAGCTGTGCCTCCGACTGGAAAATTGCATACCGGGGCCATACAATCATACCAAGATAGGTTAACTTTAGGACCTAGACTAGTGAAGAACAAGCCCAAGTGAAAAGAAAACAAACAAACAAAGAAGCCAACAAAAAGGCTGGTGAAAAGCTACACAACTGGTGTTCAAAGATATTGAATGGCCTGATCAGTTAAGCACGAAAAAAGAAAAGGGAAGTGCAAGTCAGCGTACCTCTGAGGAAAGGACAGTCCACATACTTTACATTCAGTGAAATACAAATCTCACCAAACTAAGAGATGGAAGTTAACTCAGTGTTTTTAATTATTAGGCCAAATTAATTGCTAGAACATTGCATCACCAAGAGAGAAAAAGAAGCATTGGGTCAAAATTTACCTTGCTTCAAGTTTAATTTCCTTTTACCAGCGGATGGTAAGGACTATGAAAGTGAGTTTTTACAAAAAAGAACACACTTTGATCAGTGCCACTATGGGTGCATTCCTTTGGGATGATCCGGATCAGGATCAGTGATCTGAGATCACACGGATCATGGTAGATCAAATAAACCGATGAATCCACTCTGAACAAGGATTCATCGGTTCATTTGATCTACAATATATGATCCGAGCGATCTCGGATCACTGATCCTGATCCGGATCATCCCAAAGGAACGCACCCTATCGGCCTGCTCCACAAAAAGCTTCAGGTTAAGTACTGAAAACAATGGGATCTTTTGACTCAAACAAGCATATAATTTTCTCAATCAACTACCGATTGTGGCTTATTAGAAGAAAAGCTTTCTACAGACATTGTATTCCTCGTTCGTTATCCATAAATGACACCGCAGGAGTAAGAAATTTATATCCTAAGAAATTCCATCCTTGGTGTAAAACAAAGAAGGTTACTTTAAGATTTGCCGATTTTTTGATCACTTTTGAATATAGAAACGTGCTCGAGCTGTAGTCAAGTACTTCATTCTGTTTGCAGCATTACAGCAGAGCTAACATACCAAATATTATTGATCATTTACATTCCTTCTAAGTTAGAAGTTAAATTTAAATCTTGCGAGCATGGAAGCTGAAGACTTAATCATGACATTACAAGCTTTGAAAGTGAGCTAAAGTGAGAAAGGTGGGCTAATTTTGATGATAATGGTGATGATGATGATGAAGATCACGAGAATGAAAAAAATCTGTGATGTTATTAATAAAAGCAGGATAAAAGTAAAGGTGATGATTATGTAGATAGAGCTGGTTACTGCACAAAGTAAAAGACATTGCAGTTTAGTGCATTCATAATAAAATCATCCTTTCCTGAACTGGAAAATAAGGATTTTCACTTTTGTACGTAGTAGTTTATTATTACAAATACTTTTAAGTCTTTCAATGGCATCTAAAAAAAATTGGCATCCCCCACTTCCTGACCTCA